AGGCTGGGATGAAAGTTTCCTCTCAGATGGTGGATTTGATTTTCTTTGGGTAGGACAATTATATTCTTCAGTTTTCTCTCTATAACACTGACATATCCCCTAGATGAGCAGTTGATAGATTTCACACCTCCCTTCCCTTCCATGGCCAATTTCTATCTCCAACCCTAGGGATTGGGTGTTCCATCTATTGGTTGGACCATTTTCTTGCTATTCTCAGGCCATATTTGTACTGTGGAGCTGCGATGCTTATCTTCATGCTCTTGAGAACCACAGGAGAGCTGAGACAAGGTACATAGAAACACCCTCTTTAAACGCTGTTGGGCTTGGCTTTCCTTAATCTCTATCCTTTATACATCCGTATACCAGAAAGAAACATCATTTATTTAGTTGAAGAACACCGTCTAAATTGTAAAGGACAATATTTGAAAAAGCACCCATGTGCTCTTCTTTGCACTAGGGAAAACAGACCCCAGAGTGATCCCATCATGCCTTTGTGGCTCCGGAACAACTTTCTTCCCAGGGTACCACCAGTCAGGGCTGGAAGATTCTGTGCTCCAGAGGTCTCCAGTCCGAGCACTGGAGAACAGTGCCTTCTTTCTGGAAACAGCAATCTTCATAAACAATTTTCATGGGTTTTTAGAGGGAAAACACTCTTGTTTCCATGATGTTTTCTCATAAATACTCTTTTACCCCAAGACTCAGAGACTATAAAATCCAGCTCCCGGAACCGCGCGGCTGAAAATGTGGATGCGCGACATCTTATCAGGACATCTTTTAATGACATCTTATTATCTCATTCCTACTTTGGACAAACTTGCAGGCTCTCGAATGTAGCCTGCCCACAGGGCAGAGTCTGGCAAACTCCCCGTGGCGTACCAAATATGCCAAATACCAGTAACAATGATGGGTCTCATTCTCCTAAAGAGGCTTGAATATAATCTCAGGGCTAGGATGAAGGAAACGTTACTGGGGCCTGCTTGAGGCAATCGACGAATAACAGGATGATGAAATGAAAAAAAATGAAACCCTTTCACCCATCCTGTCTCCCTGGTCTTTTTTGTGGATTTGAGGATTAAGTGTGTGTGTGTTTGTGTGTGTGTGTGTGTGTGTGTGTGTGTGTGTGTGTGTATGTAGGGGGTTCCTGACCAGTTGTCGGAAATCTGCACTGTAGCTCTCCTCTTGCAAGGGGTGGGGGCAGGGTGAGACTTTGGCTGAAACTGAGGACAGCTTCTTGTCAATAGGGGATAGCATCTGCGTTTTGTCTAAGAAAACAGAAATCTGACTTCTCCTATAAATCAGAGACAATATTTGTTTCTAATTCTCCACATTTTATTCAGTGATTTCAAATAATTGGAACCCAATAAACATTTGTTAAAAATAAAGAGAGGAACAGTTTGGATAAATTCAACTTTAATTTCAAGAAAAATGTAAGACACATCCAAGAGAGATGGAAAATATCTGATGGAACGAAAGGCTACATAGGGGTTAGAGTGGATTTTTGAGAAGAAATCAAATCCAGAAATCTGACATAATTCCCTGATGACATTCTCTGATGAAAGTTAATGATTGGGAGATGATTTATTAAGATATTGTTTGCAATTTTCACTCAGGAAAAGTTGTGCATTTTATAAAGTAATCGAGAAAAGGGATTTGGGATTTGTTTGAAATCCAACAGTCAATGAGGAGAAATAGACATCAACTATTGTTGACTGTGCCAAACACGATGAAGATGCCGACCATTTCAGTTCTTTTAAAAACTCATTCGGCTTTTTATCGAATAGACTTGACCAAACTGACTCGCTGCTTTGGAGCCATGGAAACGGCACTGTGATGTACTGTTGGATGAGATCAAATACACATGCAGGGGCTTGAGCGTTAATAAAATCTTTTTATGTTTCTTATGGCTATTTGTGAGATTGGCTGTATAATACAATGGCTAGTTACGCTTTCTTCAACATGTTCCCATGCTTTATTATTTTATTTCCAAATGGGCAATTGTATTTGGAGTAGGGAATGCTTAGAAACATCTGGAAAGGAGATGTTACTTTCTGCTTTCTCAAGATACTCGGCACCTCCCTCCTTCCTTGCCCCCACCCACTCCCAGCTGTGGGGACCCCCTCACTCCATTCCAGAAGCATTCCCTTCTAAAATTGTAGCATATTGGCTCTTCACTGCCTCTCTCTGTGGACACTTTCATGACCAGCAACTAGCAAGGGGTCCAATATATGAGAGCTATACAATAGCAGCTTAATAGGTGAATGAATAATCTATAGTTTTTTCTTTTTGGGTCACACCCAGCTATGCTCAGGGGTTACTCCTGGCTCTGCACTCAGGAATTACTCCTGGAAGTGCTTGGGGGACCCTATGGGATCCTGGGGGAACTGGGTCAGCCACGTACAAGGCAAACACCCTACTCTCTGTACTATGGCTTTGTCCGCAGTATAATTTTTTAAAAATCTGTCTTATAACTTACCCTTGATAGTTCATATACCTAAAGTAATATCCTGGTTTACCCAAATACTCCTGAAATCGCTGGTTTATCCCTAACTCAGTTCATGATTGGTGGATAGGTTCCACTGGGGATTAGGTTTTTCTGCTGAAATTTGTATCTTGCTTATTGGGCAACTGCTAGTCTCTTATCCCCCCCCAAACTCCCCCATGGAGACTTTGTGCTTTCTTCTCTAGAAAAGAAGGGCAATCATTACAGGGCTGTGAAATGAACATTCTGTGCTCCCAATCTCCCTGGTCCCTGTTCATTATTCTCTGTGACATTCACCTTCTAGAGTTTGGTGGTCATCAAAAACCTAAGTCCTAGTAGTTTCTTTTCTGATTGTCTTTCCAGTGATGTTTATCCCAAACTTAGCTCATTTTCTTTCAGTGTTCCAGACACTAAAATGCGTACCCCCCTTTTATCAGCAGAAACAAACTACTGTTTTATTTCTTAAATCATTCTAAGCATCTCATAAAATCTATTCAACACTTCTTTTTCTAATTTCTTCACATAATTACTTTCTATTTCCTGAAAATTTTTGAGGAAGCAATATTGATCTCTCTTCTTGACCAGGCTGACTTCGTTGTTCTGGCATAAAATCTCGTCCCTCAGTCTCCAGGAAGCATGACAAGAAAGGTGCTAGATCACTGCCTGCCTCTCCAAGTCCCCTGTGCAGATAACCCTTCATTTGCTCTCTTAGTATTTCAACCTTCTGCCACTTCCCTTTCCTTGCAAAACTCAGTAGAAAGCTTCTGAATACCCCTTGTCATTCCTTACCATTTTGACCTTGGTGCTTCTTAGTGAATTTCCACTAACCTGGGCTGCTCCTCATTCTACCAAAACTGTTTTGTTTAGAATTACCAATGATCGGCAGAGCCTGGCAAGCTCCCCGTGACGTATTCGATATGCCAGACACAGTAACAACAAAGTCTCCAATGGAGACGTCACTGGGCCCGCTCGAGCAAATCGAAGATCAACGGAGGGCCTTTACCAATGATAATATTTTCTTCTTAGGCTTAATCTGCTACGACCTCCTTTTAGATATGGCAGCGTTACCCCTCCCCCTTTCCTTAAGTAGACTTTTGCTTTTACGACAGCCCTTGAGTTCTCGTTTTACCTTTGAAACCATCCGTTTTACAGAGACTGGAGCCACTTACAAGGTCATAACTTCGGCCAGTGATTGTGCACAGAAGTCATGCATATCATTCCGAGGCTCCTCCTAGACCCTGTTCTTTCCATTTTGGGTTTGGTTATTACTCTTTAAACATGCACTTTGAAGACGATGGTGTCACCCAATGGAAGGGAAGCAGGAGAGAGCCTGAGCTTTGAATCAGTGCTCAGAGAATGCTATTAGGAACACTTCCTTTGTGTGAATGTGGGCAAGACACACATGCATTGAAGGTGAAGTGCTACTCATACACTTCTGTATTAGTAATACACTATTTACGGTATCACTATGCAAACTTGACCACTCTGATTTGTTAATGCTCCATCTGGATATGCAAGTAAGCTACACCAACATTCAATAGTGTTGTTTGCCAGATTCATTACTAAACATGTTTCTTTAGTTTTTTTTTTATAAGCAACTACTTTATGTTGGGCTGGAGCAATAGCACAGTGGGTAGGGCATTTGCCTTGCAACACTGCTGACTCGGGTTCGATTCCTCCACCTCTCTCGGAGAGCCCGGCAAGCTACCGAGAATATCTCGCCCGCATGGCAAAGCCTGGCAAGCTTTCCGTGACGTATTCGATATGCCAAAAACAGTAACAACAAGTCTCACAATTTGTTGTGAGACGTTACTGGTGCCCGCTAGAGCAAATCGATGAACAACGGGAGGACAGTGCTACAGGGCTACATTATGTTACCTCGTCATTTGTGGTTTTTTAAAAATAATTTGTCTAATCATTTTTCTATTAATATTACTCTGTTGGCGTTTGTCTTTTATTTATGGAATCTTTGCATTTTAGGGATATAACATTTTCTCTGTCATATAGATTTTCCGGTACTTTCCACAATTTTTATAGTTGGCCTGAATTTTTGTTTTGTGTTGCTCAGACATTTAGTAATTATATATAGAAAATTCCTAGAGGGTTTTCTTTTCTGATTTCCATTCATTCTTTCTCCGTTTGCCATTTCCTATGGTCCTTCATGCTCTTGAATGGTGATCTAAAATTTTCATAAAAACTTAAATCTTGGGGCCAGAGCGATAGCACAGCGGGTAGGGAGTTTGCCTTGCACATGGCCGACCTAGGTTCGATCCCTGGCATCCCATATGATCCCCCAAGCACCTGAGTGCAGATCTGGGAGTGACCCCTGAGCATCGCTGGGTGTGACCCAAAAGGCCAAAAAAAAAAAAAGCCCACACTTAAATCTTAATCAATCCAGAATACTACTTAGCATAAAATTCTCGCCTCTAATATTTGACATAAAATTTTATAGGATACACTTAATAAATATTTGTTAAATTTAATTGTCTCCTTTAAAATAGTTTCCCCCTGCTTTTTAAAAGGGGAGATCATGAACACAGTCCTCCACTGTCACAAATTATGGAGTCAAGTTTCCCACATTTGGGGAAATTGTAGGGGTCAGCACATCTGGAGTGCAATGGATAAGCCTCACCCTGGGAAAACCATCTTCAAGGTCATGGGGTCTCCCTTGCCATGTAAGTATCCTTTAAAATACTTCAGATTCATTTGGAGTAGTGGTTCTTGCAGTCTAATCCTTAGGCCAACAAAAATTAATATTACCAGCACCTGGGAACTTGTTAGAAATGCAAATCTTCGAGCCTACCCTCAACATATTGGTGGTGATGGTGGGCGCACCATGCTATCTGATTTCCAGGTTAAAGTTGAAGCAGAAAATGCATAAAGCTGATTTTAACTACATCTCTTAGAAGTACACATTTTCCAAGTTAACAAAGTTGAGTGTTATGGAGACCCAGTTCTCATATTTCTTTTAGCAGTTAGACATAGATCACTTGGACCCCTCTCACAGTGCTCATCCACACAGGGTTGTTCTGTTGGCCTTGGGGAAGACAAGGGTAGCCTGATTTCTCAGGAAATGAGGAAATTCTGGTAAATATTCCCCGGGTGACACAGTCCACAAGAGGAATGGATTTCAGTGCTCATTTTGGGTAACCACCCCCACACCTTCAAGTGGTAGCCTCCGTCTGTACCACAGTGGATGACCCAACCCCCAGGGTCACTCTGCTGGCCTGGTTTGTCAGATTCCTGGCCTCTGGGAAGTCATAAGAAGTGTCTCGGAGTGTTTCTGTCCTGCCTGCTATGGGCAGCCCTGGTCCCAGAATGGTAGGTCTGGGGTTGCCGCATCCCCAGGAAGATAGACATCTTAGAGTCTTCTAAGCAACAAGGCCCTGCTGACCTCCCCCCAAGCCCCCTACACTTCCCAGCCAACCTTAAGATTCTTGAATTTTCCTCAAACTTAGCCTGGAATATCTCCAGGAAGAGGTTCATGGGAGAGGATGCTGGGGTTGCCTTTCAAGGGTTAAGTATTACTTTCCACCTCAAAGTAAGGGTCCGTCTTTAGAAAGTGCTGGTCTCGACCCCCTGCAGTGGGTAGCAGGAGAGGTCAGTGCCAGTTGAGAAATGGAGTGGGGGGCATGAGTGTTCGTTATGGCCCGGGCATGGGAGGGACTACTTTTCACAGGAACCAATTCAACAACAACAAAAAATGAACTCAACCTTCTCACTCATCAGAGGCACATAATTTTGTTCATGGGAATCTACTGTGACCGTGCTGAGGGTATGTGGTGAGATGAATGTTACAGGGGTCAGGGGGTGGTGTGTGAGGCTGGGCTGACACATACAAGATTTCAGATAAGAGAAATGACAGAATACAGTAAAGACATAAATGGGACTGGGTTATCACTTTGAAGTGTGTGTGTGTGTGTGTGTTGTGCATTTGTCCTCATGCTCTGAAAGGCTCCAGGAGACTGTTACCTTGTTGGAAATCCATAAAAATCCAGTCCCGTGTCTCACACCCCACACCCCATTCCCACGAGAAGATGTAACATGGATGTTATCTCTTCGATCCCCTCACGCCCAGGGCCAGGCTCACAGGCAAGGCAGTTCTCCATCCCTGGAGGAGACGGAGCCACTGGACTGCTGGAGAACATTCTTGAGCCCGCAGTGATGAGGGGAGGGTCCTGGGCCGTTGCTTCTCTTTATTTTATTTCATTTTTTAAAAAAAATTTTAGTTTTTATTAGTGAAACACCATGAGGTACAGTTGTAGACTTACAAATTTTTGTGCTTGGGTTTCAGTTGTACAATGATCGAGTACCCATCTCTCCATCATTACCCATTCTCCACCACCACTGATCCCAGTATCCCTCCCATCCTGCATCCCCCCCATCCCACCCTGCCTCTGTGGCAGGGCATTCCCTTTTGTCCTCTCTCTCTCCTTTTGGGTCCTGTGGTTTGCAAGAGAGGCATTGAGTGGCAATCATATTTGGTCCATAGTCTACTTTCAGCATGCTTCTCCCATCCTGGGAGGATTCTCCCAACATCCTTTATTTGGTGCTCCCTTCTCTATCTGAGCTCCCTTTTCCCCTAGAGTGTGTGGCTGGCCTCCAAGCCATGGAGCAAACCTCCTGGTACTAATCTCGGCCATTGTTGGGAGTTAGTCTCCTATTTTGTTACTTTATGTTCCCCAGATGAATGCAATCTTTCTATGTCTATCCCTTTCTTTCTGAGTCATTTCGCTTAACATGATACTTTCCATGTGGTACCATTTATATATGAATTTCATGACTTCATCTGTTCTAATAGCTGCGTAGTACTCCACTGTGTAGATGTACCAAAGTTTCTTTAACCACTCATCTGTTCTTGGAAACTCAGTTTTTTTCCAGATTCTGGCTATTGTAAACAGTGCTGCACTTTCTTGACCAGGCCACTCTGGGGCTCATACTCTCTGCACAGCAGCTCCCGGAAGCTGGCACAGGCACTGCTGATCCGGAGGGACTGGCACTGCTAACCCTAAGGAAGTTTGCTTTGGTGTTGGGCTGAAGAGGGAGGGAGTTCATTGGCAAGTGGCATGCTGATCTTGCTTCCCGACTGTGCTTGAGTTTCCTGGTGTCTGACCCAGTAGGTCGGACCTTCCAGCTGCTTCTGTCTGTTCCAACAATAGCTTCTGGAGAAATGCCCACAGGTGGACAATGGTTAAGGATTGTTGTGCATATTTCAGTCACTTTTGTTTTTTTTTGTTGTTGTTGCACAGAGTGTTTGAGAACTAGTGAGGGTTGAGAAGCTGGGAGGGAGATGGAGGGGAGGCATGCAGAGGAGCACTGGGTTTGGAGCCACGGAGGGAAGGGAATTCTAAGAAATCTGCCCTTCCTCCTCCTTCTGTCTAAGGAAATTCCTGCTGGGTGATCGCAAGCAAGGATTCCGTACTGCATTGATTGTGAGCCTGGCCCTGGGCAGGAGGGGACTGCAGATGTAACCCCTCTGTTCGTACTCACCACCAGGCACAGGGGTGTATATTTGTGCATTTCTGTTCTTTGCATATCATTCATTACATCTTCTCAGACTCAGGGCCCAGACAAGGAGTTAGGATTCTAGTATCACCTGTGTTGTTTCTTCTTCCTTGTTTGCATGAACAAAATGGCATCCTTGAGCTCCTGCTTACACAGCAGAGGCTGGTCCGAAGAACCTGGTTCAGCAATCATTGCCCTCCTCACTTGAAAAATATCAGCAGGGCCTGAGCAGAGCCACATCCTCAGACACTCACATGGACTTTCTGGCTCAGTCTGGGGAGAATCACTGGGAGGGATCCTTGAGCCCCCCCTCCCAGCCCCTAAGGGAAGAAAATACAAGAAACATATCAGCTAGAGACACTTCTTATTTCTGCATCTGTTCTTCTCGGTGAACTGCTACTGAGCTTGTCCTAATGGACATGTCAGAGCAACTTCTGGGCAGTTGTAGGATGTTGGCATTCATCTCAGAGTCCCAACTTCCTGTCTGCAGAGTGGAGACAGCAATGACATCGCTGTTATAGGGTTGTTGCAAGCTTAGACTTAGTACTTAGACTTAGTATTTATCCACTACCTTACACCTAGTATTTTCCACTACACTGAGTGTTTGATTTCTCATAGACATTAAGAGTTTGCAAAGCGAATCTTCCAGTACTTGTGAACATCATATTTCTTGTGAGGTGCGCGGATGACATCAGCCCTCTGCATGAATATAGAGCACATAAGTTGTGGAAATATATTAGAACCTATTCTACCCCCCTCAGATCCACTGAATCGCATTATTGGGTTGGTGTGAACAACTACATGCGATGCATCTATATGATCGAGTCATAATGTACATCATTGGAAAGGCTTGTCTGCATATAACAACCCAAGGAAGCAAAATCTGCTTCTAGGAGATTTATAGGATCCTGGTCTTTTGATTGATTTCTGTCAGCTAGGTTAGTAAGGCAGTTATTGTGTTCACTAAGCTCGAGGAGAGGGTTCCATATGGATACCTTTTCTATTAAGAGATACCACGCCTTGAAATATCAATGTTCTTTGGTGCATTTTGGCATGTGATAATTTAAGATGATAATTTGTTCATGTGTACTGGATCATTCATTATAATTAAATTGAAGAACATTGCTACAGGTTAAATGATGGATTATATTTGATCCTTTTTGCTTAACTAGTTAGTTCTGGCTATGCTCACACTGGATACAACTCAAATAGATTGATTGATGGGCAAGATGAGATTATTTTTTAATATCAATGTTTTACCAATCCTATAACAGGCCAAATTACCAGCTCCAGTAGGAACTCCTGAGATTTTTTTTTTTTCTTGGAGCAAGAAAGTGAGTCTCTGATGTCCTTGTGTAAGTGCTGGAAAGAATGATGTGTTTCTTACACTTTCAAGGATAGCAATTTGGTCTTGTCACAGGCGTTGCACTTGAACTCTGATTACTAACCCCATTTCTGATTTCCACTTCTCCACCTCCATATATGAAGAAAAATGCCAACTATTCAATGATGCAAAGGCAAAGTGGGGATAATTATTTGGAATGTTAAGCATTTTTTCCTTAAGAGTTCGAAAGTCCAGTATGCTATGAAGGCATAGGGCCATTTTTGGAAGAAGAGAGGGAACAGGGAATTCGGTCTTGGCATTTTTTCACATTCCAGAAGTGGGAGCATGTGTATGTCGAATATGATTTCTTGGTTCCATCAATCATATTCTATCTACCTCCTTGGTTGTTTGTGATTGATGTATGAGTTACTGCGGGAAGATTACAAGTGACTTGCAGTCAAAGAATCTTTTATAGAAATTTATTTGCCTCAAAAACGCTTAGCAGAGTGTAGGGAAACTAAATGCTTAGTGGGTTGTTGCTGAAGGCAATTGAGAGATGCTTTGTGGATTTCACTGTCTACTGTTAGCAGGTTGCAGGAAGTTGGCCCATGGGAACCTATTCATTATGCCTGCTCCTTGGGGTGGAAGGCGAACCACTTACCAAAAGGAGGGTCAATGAGATGCAAACAGATTCAGGTTCTGACGAACGCCCCTTGCCCTTTTCTGATACGTTATGACTCCAAATTACTTTCAGCAATAGAAGCCCATTAAGTTTTTCACAGCGTAGTAATGTGAAATCTGCTCCAAAATTGTGCAGATTACTTGCGAAATAATGTTTCGCAGAGATGAAACAG